CTTCACCGCATGTGCCAAGAATCCACTCAGTCCATTAATGACTTCCTTTCTGAAATGTCTGTTTGGGATGAGCTTACTCTTCCAGAACCAACTTGGCATAACCAAGAAGATGCTGTTTTATTTACTATCTATCGCAACCAGCAAAGGTTGGTGCACTTTGTCATGGCTCTTACTTCCTCTTTTGAGCCCGTACGTGCCTCTCTACTTCATCGGCATCCATTGCCCACTCTTGAACAAGCAATTTCTGAGTTGCTATCAGAGGAGACTCGTCTCGGTACTCTTCAAACTTATCACGTGGACTCTATTCTTGCCACTCCTCCGTGCAAGCCATCATTTACCCAGCGGACCACTACTTGCCTCTATTGTCAGAATCGGGGCCTTCCTTCAACCCATCTCCTGGTCAATTGCCCCGTCAGATCCTGCCGCTACTGCAGCAAACTTGGTCTTGGTCATCTGCAACAGGATTGTTTTCGCAATCCATCTTGATCATCCTCCAATAGCCATTCCTCTCGCGGGGGCTCTTCCCGGGGAAGCTTTCATCGTTCCGGGAATCAGTCTCATCACACTACTGCTGCTGCTTCCGGGAATCAGTCTCATCACACTGCTGCTGCTGCTTCCGGGAATCAGTCTTATCACACTGACGCTGCTGCCTCTGCGGGGTTCTCTGAGTCACCTGCTCCGTCTACCCCTCGCTTTTCTCCGACGGATGTAGAGGCCATGCTCAAACAACTTCTCTCCCCTTCTGGTACACCTCTTCCTACTGCTTTGTCTGTAATCCCAGGTAACTCTTCTTGGTATTTTGACTCTACCTGTTGTAATCATATGACCTCCAGTTCTACTATCTTTTCTTCCTTCTCCTCATCTCCTCATATTCCCTCCATTCATACTGCTGATGGTTCCCTCATATCTGTTCGTCATGTTGGTACTGTTTCCACCTCTTCTTTATCTATACCTCAAGTTTATCATATCCCTGCTCTCACCTTAAACCTTATTTCCATTGGTCAATTATGTGAACTTGGTCTAACTGTCACATTTTCTGATACTGATTGTTTGGTACAGGACCCTCAGACGGGGCAGACTATTGGGATTGGCTGTAAGCATGGACGTCTCTATGAACTCATTCACCTTCATGTTCCTGCTTGTCCTCAGATCGCTGCTCCTGTATCTACTTCCTCATTATCTCCCTTTCATCTTTGGCATTGTCGCTTAGGGCATATTTCTGTTAATCGCTTAAAGTCTTTGGTTTCTAGTGGACAGTTGGGTCATGTAATTCCTGATAATTTTGATTGTATACCTTGTCAACTTGCCAAACAACCTGCTTTATCATTCAATAAAAGTACCTCTGTTTCCCTTGCACCTTTTGATCTTATACATTCGGATATTTGGGGCCCCTCCCCTACTACTACTATGGGGGGATCCCGCTATTTTGTTGTTTTTATTGATGATTTTTCCCGGTTTACTTGGCTTTTTCTCATAAAAAATAGGTCTGAACTTAAACACATTTATTATAGATTTGCACGAATGGTCCACACCCAATTCTCCAAAGCCATCAAAATTTTTCGCTCTGACAATGCTATGGAATATCGGGATTCAGATTTCCTTTCCTTTCTTCAGCATCATGGTACACTGCCTCATCGTTCTTGTGCTGGCACGTCCCAGCAAAATGGCCGCGCTGAACGGAAACATAGGCATATTCTTGACACTACTCGCGCTCTCCTTCTATCTTCTTCCTGCCCTAAAAACTTTTGGGGAGAAGCTGCCCTCACTGCTATTTACACTATCAACTGTGCTCCTACCCCTGTCATCCATAATCAAACTCCCTTTGAACGTCTGCATGGCACTCCCCCTCCTTACGCCAATCTTCGGGTTTTTGGCTCTGCCTGCTTTGTTCTACTTCAATCCCATGAACACACCAAGCTTGAACCTCGTTCTCGTCTTTGTTGCTTTCTTGGGTATGGAATTGAACATAAAGGCTTTCGCTGTTGGGATCCTCTCTCTAAACGTCTTCGTATCTCCCGCCATGTCGTTTTCTGGGAGCACCAAATGTTTTCCTCGCTATCCTCCTTTCACTTACCCACACTTTCCACTACTGTACTGTTTACTAATCCTTCCATAGATCTTTACTCTGCTGATTTTGATACAGGTTCCTCCTTCATCGATGCCCTTGCACACTCCTGATTCCGTCCAGCTTGCTCTCCCTGAAGGTCTACCTCTTATTGCCACACCTCCTTCTCCACCGGTTCTTCCTCCCACCCTTCCTCCTACGGGTCGACCACGCCGGGTAACTCAACCTCCTATCCATCTTCGTGATTATATTGTTGGATCTGTTGCATTCTCTACTTATGAACCTACCTCCTATCGTGAGGCTTGTACTAATCCTCTTTGGCAGCAAGCTATGACTGATGAACTCCAGGTCTTGGACAAAGCTCATACTTGGGATCTTGTTGATCTTCCTCCTGGAAAGATTGCGATTGGCTGCAAATGGGTTTACAAAATCAAAACATATTCTGATGGCTCTGTTGAATGCTACAAAGCTCGTCTTGTTGCCAAGGGTTTCAACCAGGAATATGGTATTGATTATGAGGAGACATTCTCTCCTGTTGCTCGGCTTACCTCTGTTCGCAGTTTACTTGCTGTTGCTGCTGCTCGCCACTGGGGGCTCTTTCAGATGGATGTCAAAAATGCTTTCCTCAATGGTCATCTTCTTGAGGAGGTCTATATGCAACCTCCACGTGGGTCCACTTTTCCACCTCATCAGGTTTGCAAACTACAGCGTGCTCTCTATGGCCTCAAGCAAGCGTCTCGTGCTTGGTTTGCTAAGTTCAGTTCTACCATTCATGACTTCGGGTTCACCTCTAGCTCCTATGACTCTGCCCTTTTTATACGGACTACTTGTCATGGTACCACTCTTCTTCTTCTGTATGTGGATGATATGATTATCACTGGTAATGATGAAGCTGGTATTCTCCACCTCAAACAGTTTCTCCACCGTCAGTTTGAGATGAAGGACCTTGGTACTCTTAACTACTTCTTAGGCCTTGAAGTCTCTCATGATTCTACTGGTTCCTATTTGTCCCAAGCCAAATATGCATCCGATCTTCTGGCTCGTGCCGGTCTTACTGATTGCAAAACTACCTCTACTCCAGTTGATCCTCAAATTCGTCTCACTCCTCTCGATGGGACTCTTCTCTCTGATGCTACTCTTTATCGCCAGCTCGTCGGCAGTCTTGTCTATCTCACGGTAACTCGTCCTAACATTGCCTATGCTGTTCACATTGTCAGTCAGTACATGTCGGCTCCTCGCACTCCCCACTATACTGCTCTACTCCGCATCCTTCCCTACCTCAGAAGCACTCTGTTCCATGGCCTTCACTTCTCTGCTTCCTCCTCTCTTGAACTGCGTGCCTTTTCCGATGCTGATTGGGCTGGGGATCCTACGGATCGACGCTCTACCACGGGATTCTGCTTCTTCTTAGGGGATTCACTTCTTGCTTGGCGTAGCAAAAAACAATCCCTCACTGCCCGCTCTAGCACCGAAGCTGAATACCGAGCTCTTGCTAATACTACTCAAGAACTTCTCTGGCTACGTTGGCTCCTTGCTGATATGGGTGTTTCTTCTTCTGGTCCTACCCCTCTCTATTGTGACAATCAGAGTGCCATTCAGATTGCTCACAATGATGTTTTTCATGATCGCACCAAACATATTGAGATTGATTGTCATTTCATTCGCCAGCATGTTACCTGTGGTACTGTTCATCTTCTCCCTATTGCTTCAGTCGATCAACCCGCTGATATCTTCACTAAGGCTTATCCTCCTGGCCGCTTCAATGATCTTATTTCCAAACTCAACTTGGTTGATGATTTCCCTCCTTGAGTTTGCGGGGGGATGTTAGTGTATAATTGTTAATAGCTGTTATAGCATCATAGCTTAGCATTATAGCGCATCATTATAGCTTTAGCACTTTATCTTTTATGTTGTAAATTCTTTATGCTTTCGGTGGGCATCCAATGCATCACATTCTCTCTATAAAGAGATTGCATTCTCTTTGTAAAATATACACACAATTACAGACAAACAATTCAGTGTCTCTCTCTCTCTCTATCAAACTATTGTTTCAATGGGTATCAATTTCTCAAGAGAAGTGTCAACTTGATAACACAATATGGGTTTTAAGAACTTCCTTCCTCAATTTCTCACCTGAATTATAAACTTACAACAACAAATAAATTTTTAATTTCAGAATGCACACATAATGAAATGGGTCTGTACAGGAACTCAGAGATTCAACATACAGTTGTAGGAGCATCAACACAAAAAAGAAGACGATAGATAACTGATTTTGCAACTGTGAACTTTATAAAGGTTTATACAAATACAAGATGAAAATTAAAGCCAAGTTTGTTGAACTAACAGGACAAACCAGATATTTAGACTTACCATGAAGTAAGAGGTGGAACTTTAAAATAGTAAACAAGTAAATATTCAATGATAAAAATTATTGATAAATTTGATTTATAACTACCAAGCATATATTAGCATATTTTTACCATCAAGGACACAACTGTAATTTTTGTGAGTATTATTGCAATTTTGATGACTTGAATGTATTTCATAATTTTGTTAAATCTTGCAAGTTGTACCCAAGTATAAACACTCGTACCATTGTGTTACACATAAAAACCAATTTATGTTACCTCTCTTAGTTATTACTAATATCAACTTCCCTCCTCAACTTTATAAATGTACATTTAAACCTCTAAACTATCAAAATTGTTTCACTCTCAACCCTCAGCCGTTCCAAAAAGACTGCAAAAATAAGCTTTGGTGATAGAATGTGATCCCTTGAATAATTCTATCTTCTGAGGCAATCTGCCCAAACCAAACCAAACACCTATCGAGCCTTGGATAAAAGTCATGTTGCTCTCACAATCTAATTATTTGTACAATGTAGCAATAAAATTCATTTACGTTGTTTTTGGTTAGGGGATTTTAAAAAAGATTTAGAAACAGAAAAGGAAAAGGCAGGTGAAATATAAATAAAATTACATTTCACAAATTTTTTTCCTTTCTATTTTCAAATCCCTTCCCACGTCCCCCAACCAAATATAGCATTAAAGAGAAGCATAAAACAAAAGTGAACCACTAAAAAGCCATGCGAGAGACAGAGAAAACAAAGATTAAAAATAGATATCATAAAAGCAACAAATAATGTATATGAAATGAAAGATGTATATGGTCAAGGCTTGGACTGTTTATCAGCCTTTCTTCTGGCACGCCTTTCTCTTGAGCTAAGAGATGACTTGAATCCTCCTTCATTCTCAGATTCTTCTGATTCATCTAAATCTCTGAAAGTTTTCTACACATTTTGAAGTAGTAACAAAATTTGTATTATACAGTTATACCAAACAATTAATCAATCAGACAACTGTTGCACCCTTATTCTATATTTCTAGGGAGAGAGAGAGAGAGAGTGGAGCAACTGACCTCTCTAATCTCAGCAAAGCTGACTGCATAGAAGGTAACAGCTGCTGCTGCTACAATTCCAAGTACAGGAAGGGCTATTTGCATTCCATCCATATCTTTTTTCAACTATTAAGGGGATTTTTGAAGAGATTAATTGAGATAATTTTCTTCTCCAATAAATATAAATATGCAAAATTAAAAATTTATAAGAGATAAGATGTAGTTTGAGAAGAGATAAGATGTACTCCATCCAATTTTCAATAGAAAAATGTCACGTTTGCGGCCATGTTGCATAATTAGAATCATGTTTGACAAAAATAAATACCAAAAAATATAATTTTGAATTTCAAAATATTTCTATATCCCCCCTGCTGTAATCTTTCTTAAAAAAAAAAAAAAAAACTGTATTGTTTCTGAAATTTTTTTATTTTTATAAGCAAACTAGGTTTTCAAAATATTTCAGAAAACAAATTATGAGAACTCAACCAAACAGAGTAATGTTTGGCTATATATAAACAATGGTGAAGATATAGGGACAGGACAATGAAGGGGCAGAGGGGAGCTATTGAGGTAGCAAGAGGTGGAGGTTGGGGTAGAAGGGGGTTGTGAAAGAAAAATGGGAAGTTTAGGGATAAATTTGAATAAGAGAAAGTGAGAGAGAGGGGGGTTGAATTTGGGTTTGGATTTTGGATCTTAAAATTGGACAAAATTTGATTTTGGAAATAATTGAGAAAAATTACAAATATTAAGGGTCAAAATGAGAAAAAGTACTTTAAGGGCCAAAGTATAATTTACTCATTTTATGCCAAGGGCATTTTCAGTCGTTGGACAGAAATTAGTTTTGAGAGCAATTTGAAAAAAATTACAAATGTTAAGGACGAAAGTGGAAAAAAAAAATTTATTTTAAGCAAAGTAGGAAAGTATAAAACTTAAGTGGGTAAAGTATAATTTACCTAATTTTGATGTCTACTTAGAGGTATTTTAAAAAGATGGTTAAAAGTTATTTTTTGATTTTTTTTAACTTTTTGTGAGAGATGGAAGTAGGTTAAAAGTTGGGAAGTGACTTTTAACTCACTTCCCAAAATATGTCTTAAACATTTATAATATTTTATACAACAATGATTCATTCCACTAATTTGGGAGCACTAATTGACCACTAACGAGGTGAAAATTCAAAAAAAAAAAAAAAAAAAACACAACAACAAAACATCTCATCATGTGAAACCTACACCACTTTAAAGTTATTAGTGCTCCTCTTTTTAGTGGTCTCACTCATCTTTCTATTTTATATAACTTGTTATAGATTAGTGGATTACGCTTCTGATAATGCCCTGAATCTAGGGAACAGCCCAAGTGTGTTTTTATTTTATAGTATGGTTTTACATAACATAAATTGGGTTCCACATCCTTACGTGTGTCTCTTAATAATTTTGTAAGGTTTAACACTCCCTGGCTTTAGCTAAATTCAAGAGAGGCCTGCTAAGTAAAAAGTAAGTCACAACCTTCCACTTAATTAAAACTGGAATTTCTATCAGTTTTATTGTTAAAGATTCAATATATATATATATATATATTGTTTTTTTTTGTGTGTAGTGGTTTGTTATATTAAAATTGTAAAAACTTATATTTCATACTCTTTTTAAAATATCTTAATTTGTATTATTTAATAAACATAGTATACTTTTAAGTCTCTTTTATATATATATTGTTAAATTATTTATTATTAAATAATATTTTTGATACATATATAATATTTTTGCGCTAAATCTAAAACGGTATCTAATAACATACCAATACCAATAGATAACAAACTAATGAAAATATATATATATATATATATATATCCAATATGATATTAACAACTTTGATAATGACCCATCGTCATCTCATATGGTTGCCAAATAATGCAACCCAACTACTGCGAAATGCACCCAGAGTTGAGCTTTAGGCCTCGGTTGGGAACAAGTTAACTTAGCAATTTTTTAGTTATTTGGATAAAATATAAGCTAAAAAAAATTAGTATGTTTGGGATGATTTTTTAACTTTTTACAAAAAGATATGCAAAAAATAGATAGAAAAGAAAATTTTTAACTTTTTGGTATGAGTTGTTTGCTTTTTAGTTAATTTAGTAATTTTTTGACTTTTTGACTAAATCAGCTAGTCTCCAAACGAGGCCTTAGTCGCTTTCTTCACCAAAAATTTAATGACGGAGTCAAAAATTTAATTTAGAGACACCCATTAATTACAATTTCTAAAATTTTGAGCTAATGCATAAATACTTAAATATTCATTACAAAGGTTTTTAAGTTAACTATAACAATTGACTCAATTTTAGTAAATCAAAATTCTTAATTCTAGCACAAATTCACCACAAATCAAAATCTCTAAATTCAGCTTATCAAAATCAATAACTTTAGAATAAATAAATAATCACAAATAAGAATCGCCAATTGTAGCCAATCAGACTACATCATTTTTAAGAACAAATAACCATAAAATCAATATATTTAATTTTTATGTGAGAGAGAAAGACAAGAAGAGAGGATGTTACTTGTAAACAATGTGTTGTTTGTGTACTGTAGAGTGAGAAACAAGCAGAGCCCCAAATTGAATCAAATGTATGTCTTCACTGCATTTTCAATGAATGAAATAGTCAAGTTAAAAAAAAGAAAAGAAAAGAAGCTAACCATAGGCAACAAAAGGGGAGAGAGAGAGAGAGAGAGAGAGAGAGAAATAGTTATATGGAGAGAGAAGGCTGATAGAGTCGTGTTGCTGCAGATCGTTGGTGAAGTCGATGGAATCCACACAAAGAGCAATGCCTTTTTTTTTCAAAAAAGCAAAGAGAATAAAAATATGAAGGGAGCAAGGATCTAAATCGCGGTATCGGGTAACGTAACGGTATCGATCGCGGAGTATCGGTATCGGTAGTATCGATCGGTACGTATCGGGAATCGGGTGTCACGGTGGTGAAATTTTAAAAATCATTTCAAAGGTATTTCAACTTTTTCTTTTCCGTACCGGTCCGAACCGGTGAGTATCGGCCCGTCGCGGCTTGTGTAACGGCTTGTGTAACGCTTACAGGCCGATACGTACCGGGACTCGGCCGATACTCCTGTGATTTTCAATCTCAGTGGTATATCGACCTGTATCCGTCGCGGTACCCCATTTTTCCATACGTATCGGCCGATACGTAGCGTATCGACCGATATTTAGAACTATGGAAGGGAGAGAGGCGAGACCTGATAGGAAATGGTGGGTGCGGAGTCACGCCACGTGATCGAGGAGGGCCACATCATGCAAGTTGTTTGTGCATAATTTCATAACGGTCTTGTCAAAAAAATAAATAAATAAATATTAAAAAAATTATAATTTCAAAATTTTATTTATATATTTTAAAATATCTTTCCATACTATCAAGCACTATATATTTTAAAAAAGTTATGTTGATCAGATATTGATAGTTACGTGATCAAATCAGTTTTGTATAAGAAAAATGAATGGTAAAAAAATAAACGATTGATAGAAATTTGATCTAATGATCGATATCCGATCAATGTGATTTTTTACATTCATATAGAAGTAATTTGAGAAGTTGGTTAAAAGTTAATTTTTTTATTTTTTTTGTCTTTTTGTGTATAAAAAATATAAGAGGTAACGTGGTCAAAAATAGGTTAAAAATTTTTAGCTAGCTTCCCAAATTACTCCATAGTACTCGATGAATTCTATATATTAAATAATTTGAATTATCAAAATGAGATTAATAATAAATCTCACGAACCTGACAACACCATCTAATCCGTGTGATCGGACTAGAGGAAAGTCAACTCCAAAAAAAATTAAAAAAACAAAAGTAATGTTGTCATTAATTTATGCCTCTTTACCTAATTGGCGTGAAGCTGGCTTAAACACGTTTGTTCTGTGTCAGAAACTTGCGTGGCTGTTATTTTCGGATAAAAAATGCTTAGAGTCGAGTTGAAGTTTCAATTCATGTTCACATCAGAGTTGAGTAAACTTTAGGTCTCGTTTGGGAACTCTAATTTTTAGTTAAAAAATCAAAAAGTTATTAAATTAGTCAAAAAGTCAACAACTCATACCAAAAAATCAAAGATTTTCTTTTCTCTCTACTTTTTGCACATATTTTCGTAAAAAGCTAAAAAGGCATCCCAAATATACTAATTTTTTTTATATAACATTTTAACCAAAAACAATTGGGTGGTAAAAAAAAAAAAAACTCAAAACGTAAACAAATTTTTTTAGTTTATATTTTTTGGCCAAATTTATAAACTGAGATCATTGATTTATAAATCAAAAATTTACCAAACAAGTTTTTATTTGAGCTTTTTAAATTTTTAAACGTAAGTGTTACCAAACGGCACCTATAAGTTCTTTAAAATAATTTCTTGTCCTATCAAGTCTAATTACTTTAATTAATAATTATTGATTTAAATGTTTCAATAATTGGAGACAGCAGCTAAGGTTCTTGTTAGTCGCGAGATATAGCAACCAAAAGTAATTGTCACTGATGGAAGATGGTTCGGAGTAACCCAAGGTGATTGCCAATAGTCAGAAATAATAGTCAAGGCCACCTAAGATAATATTTAACAAAAAATTAGTGAAATGTCTCTCTCCAATTTTAAATAATAGGAGAGGTGAAATATATGTTTGACAAAATTGTTAAAAAGTTCAATCTAACAATTGCGTAAGGCATTAGGTCTAACGGATATTTGTTGTTAGTGAGAAGTCCACACTTTGTGAAATAGTGAGAAATCCTTTTGTTGTTTTGGAGGATATTTTATTTTCAATTTTACCCTTTAACTTATCTGTTGAATTTTTTTTAAATCTATCTGTTGAATTTTTTATCTATCTATCTGTTGAATTTTTTATCTATCTATTAAAATTTACTAAATTTATTTTTAATCTATCTACTCAAATTTTGAATCAATCTATTGAAATTCTTTTTATTTGTTGAAATTCACCAAGATAAAATCTATTACAAATTTTTATCTATACAAATTGATTTCATAAACCTTTTTTTTTTCTTTCTCAATCTGTCTCTCACTCTCCCACTCATCCTTATCTCTTTCTCTCTCTATCTGTTGGTTTCAAGTCTCAACTTCTCACTCACTCTCTTTCTCTATTCCTCTTCTTTCTCATCTCTCTCTCTCTCTCTCTTTCTCTCTCTCTCTCTCCACAAATACATTTTATCTTCTCTCTTTATCTGTCTCTTTCTCTTACTATGTAAGAACCTGAATTAGATAGGTTGTGTGATTTTTTTGTATAGAGTGAGAGAAAAATACATCTCCAATTAGGAAGAATTCTGAGAGACTTCAAGAGTTTGTAATTTGTTTGAGATTATTTGAAAAAATAATGTTTATTCAAATTGTTTTCCTCTCTTTGTATACCGTCACAACCGATATACACCATTCTTCCACTTTCAACAGTGGTATCAGAGCCATAAGAGCCTAGGAGGTCGAATTTCTACAAAAACAGAGGCAAAAGAGAGTGATTTTCAAAATTGCCTAAAAATCAACTTTTGATCATACCAGTATGTAGGTCTCGTTGAGACAAGCACAGAGGAAAAAACTGCATCAAAAATAGACGTCGGAGTAAATCTCACGCGCCCCACGCACCGGTGTACGTCATTTCCATGCGTTCTCACGTGCTCGCACGCGCCCACACGATTTTCCAGGGAAGAAGACGCGTGACTTGAGTTCAGAAGCTTTTATCTGGTGCTTTGTGGCATAACTTTGTGCAGATCTGAACCGTTAGATTTATTTTAGATCAATCTAAGCCATTTGGAGCCCAATCACAACGATCCAATAGTGGCTTCCAGCTATTTGGAGCATTCCGAACACATCTATATGGTCAGATTGTGCAAATTCTATATCAAAAATTTGTAGATTTATTATGGCAAGTTTGAGTTTGCCAAATATTATTCCAAAGCTTACCAAGGAGAATTATGAGAATTGAAGCATTTAGATAAGAGTATTACTAATCTCACAAGATGTGTGGGACTTAGTAAATCAAGGATATGAAGAGCCAAGGAGCCCAGAAGATGAAGAAAGGCTAAGCGAGACACAAAAAGTCGTATTGAGAGACTCAAGAAGGAGAGTCAAAAAGCCTTATACTTGGTTAATCAAGGAATTGACGAGTCAAGTTTTGAGAAGATCTCAACTACAACTAGTTCCAGAGAAGCGTGGAATATTCTGCGGCATTCACATCGAGGAATTAAAAAGACCAAGAGAATTCGACTCCAAGTATTAAGGGGGGGAGTTCAAACTATTGCAAATGGAGGATAACGTGTCTATTTTAGAGTATTTTGTGTAGACTCTGACCAAAGTAAATCAAATTAGATGATATGGAGATGGAAGACATTCGAGTAATTGAGAAGATACTTCGATCCCTAAGTTCGAAGTTTGAGCATGTCCGTCATCACCAAGATTGTCTCAACTGGGCAACTTAGGTACGAGAGGGGAAAGTCATGAATACATTTGAGCACCCCCGCTCGCCCGATCAAAGATCGGCCTCTACTAATCATGAAATGATTTTTATCAACATTATATACTCTTGTTTCGGTTTATTAGGCTAGCATTACTATGTGATGCGCACGCACACAAGTATAGACTAACTTGCAAAAATTGGAACATCTCGAGTTCATGTTTGTTTTGAAAATTGTTTCGAATATGTACCACTTGAAAAAGTGATCGCATATGAAACATTACTCAATTTATTCCAATTCAAGCAACAAGCCTTCATCCACAGGCATACAAGTAGTTTATCACTTAAGCACTTAGTCTCATAGTAAGCATGCGAAACATGATAACATCAACACTCATGCAATTATGCTAAAACGAGTAAAGGCTCACCTAGGACTCCAAGCCAAAAAAAAAAGAGTAAGTTAGAAAAATGCATGATTCCTAACTATGCAATATGACTAATGCAACACATGCAATATGCAATTACTAGGCTCGGCTACTAATATGGCATATGAAGCACTTCAAATACATGCGGTCTAAGCACGTATTCAAAGAAGTATTAAACTAACAATGCAGTTAGAATGATGAACCGAGCTTCGGTATATACAATACAAATGGATGCAATCATGAAGAATGTTAATTGAAGTGTGATGTTCCTAAACTAACCACCATAAGCTAGTAAATAAAAGGGAGAAAGACTTGGGATTGGAAGGCATACACATTATTACAACATTGCGCTCTCACGAAGGAGAGTTCGAATGAACTAAGCTAATTAGCTAACTAACTAATTAAGCTAATTATTACAAAACAAATGAAATAAATAGCTAAACTACTTAACTAATTATTACAACAAATGAGTTAACTAACTAGTCTAGTTAACTAACTAATTACAAAATGAAATTGAATACCTATTTGAACTAACTAATTAAATACAATACTTTACAAAATTAACTAGCTATAACTAATTAATTACAACAAATATTTAATCGAAATATTTAAACTTTAAACAAGCTTGGAATGCAAGGAATGATCATGCACGTGCTCGGTTTTCACCCGAAAAGCCATTGTTTTTCTTCCGGAGAGTCTCTATTGCACAATAAAACGCATACACTGCGGCCCACTTCCAGAATAACTCTGCTCTACCTAAAGAACA